AACATGCTTACAATATAATAGGAAGATACGACATATCACTGAAAAAAGAAATATAATTGTTCAAAGAAGAAAAGAAAAACATACAAAATAATAGGTTTTCAATACTTAAAAATGGCAAATAGTTCAAGATTAGAGTTGTTTTTCCTAAAACATACATAATGAACCCTCAGAAGGAAAGAAAAAGATTGGTCTCTAACAGATTTTAGGAATGAGATCATTTGTAACCCTAATTAATGTCTAACAGATACACCCATATTATTCCTCTTCATAGAAAGTAGAATAAGGATCAGCTGGTTTGGAAGCATGCTAGTCGTAGTCCCCGAAGATGCCTAGAAAATAGTCCGGGTTCTCAAGAGAGCTTCAAACTTAAGGCTGAGTGCAACTAATTTTGAATTACATATGTTTGTCTTTGTCAGTGTTGCTGATACTTTCACTGACTACTTTGATTGGTAAGTTGACCATAAATAATAGGGATATACCTTATTTTGACCTTGAAGTTTGTCGTAAAAGCCAAACTTGACATGAACTTGCAAATAAGACAGTTTTTCAAAATTTTGAAAGAAATGGACAAATTTGGACTGAAATTTATGTTGTTCGTTAATATTAAAAGTTAAAAATTTCTTCATCCATTCAACATACAATGCTCAGGTGGTTGCGATTGCGATGTGGCTTCCATGTCATAGGGATGATACCTTATTTTGGCATGAACTTGATGTAAAAGACAATTTTGGCTCGAATTTTCAAATAAGATAGGTTTGTTTGCACTTTGAAAGAAATGAACAAATTTGGTCCGAAATTTGGGTTGACCTTTAATATTGACAGTTGTGATAGAGAGGTTTCGGTTGCGATGTGGCTTCCAAGTCATTTATTTATAAAGTCTAAAAAAGTGAATTTTTCAGAAGAAAAAAAGACCACAAAATAGGACCCTTAGTATATCCTAATATTTTCATATTTACTTGCATAAATCATATTAAAAGGAAAAAGAAATTGATTCAGGCCCCCAAAAATCCCAAAGCACGAAACTATCTCTCTTTGTACCCCTCTCATCAATATTAACGGCAACCTAAATTTTGGGTCAAAGTTATTCATTTCTTTGAAAATTCGTACAAAACTGTCTTATTTGAAAGTGTAGGGCAAAATAGCATATTATACCTATGACGTGAAAGTCACACCACAGTCACCTTAACATTGTATGTTGAGTCATAAAAAAAAGAAATGTTTGACCCTCAATATTAATAACCGACCCAAATTTCGGGTCAAATTTGTTAATTTCTTTCAAATTCGGACAAAACTATCTTATTTGAATGTTCATGCCAAAATTGTTATTTACATCAAAGTTCAACACAAAATAGGATATTATCCCTAAATAATATAGGAGTACTAAAAATATTGGACTAATGAAGTTCAAAATGTTTCAAACAACATACAACCCTGATAAAACTGCAGTCCAACCAACTAACATTTAGAACAAATGACTTTCCAGCAGGATAACACAACTATAAGTATGGGTGGTTCTATCATATTTTGATTAAGAAAATGACATAAGGAAATGATATATAGACCTTGAATGATATACTCTGAGTATGAAAATGATGTCTAGTGGCCGGAGCTAGGGACATGGTACTATACCTTAAGCCCTTACAGATTAAAATCTAGGTCTTAATTCTATGAGGCTCATATACTAAGATCAATTTTATTAGAAACAATAATCGAAGGTCGTGTTTCATCAAAATACATCAAAAAAATTATGTGCATAATCTTAGTGTTTAGGGCAAGGATTGAAAACCCTTAACGTACCGGGGGTTCGACTAAACCAGTAGGCACTATGTAGTGTTGTGAAACGACTGAATCACGGTTAACCACAGTTTTCGCATAAAATACCCTCCTGCCGACTTTTTCGGTACAACCTCTGATGAGGTTTTATAATCCTTGGTTTAGGATCTATGATTTAAATAGTTAAGACCTAGAGTTAACTCGTCAAGGGTTAGAATATAGTGTCTCGTCTCGAAATCAGGTTAATTCAAAGTCTAGATTGCCATTTCTTACCAAGGGTATGAGTTACCTTTTGATTTTACTCAAAATATGATAGAAAACACTACACACACATACTGGTATACTACAGGAGTATAGTATACTGGTATACTCCAAGAGTATAGTATACTCCACATGATCTAGACATTAGATGTACTTTGTTGAGCTCCAATCAATCTCAATGGTCAATTATAATTTTCTATTAAATTAAACTTTGGGTTTGAGTTTAGAGAATCGGGGCTTGTGGTTTATCCATTAGAGGTTAGGGTAGAGTATCATACCCCAAACTCGGTTAAAAATCATGGTCTAGATAGAGATATCTCACGAAGAGTACCTGAAGTATAATATACTCCAGGAGTACACCAGTCTGACCCATATATATGTGGTTGTGTGTGCACATATATATTTAATATTGTAATTTGATATGCAATATTCGAATAAATGATATTTGGATTGCGGTTTTAAGATTATCCTCCATTTATAAGATAGACTACCATTATTATTGAAGTCAAAATAAAATAATAATAAATGATAATCAAAGATCCAACACTAAAAATGCTTAAGAAAGACTTAGTGGGGTAGCTAACTGTGCTGGAAAAGTCATTTGATTTTCAGAATTTTGCCTCTTGTATGTTTTTTTTATAAATAAATGCAACAAATTTGTTTAGTCTTATTGGTTATGACTCTTGTCCTTGTTAGAAGAGACCCGGGTTCAAATCTTGACACTGATATTTTTTTCAAATAAAAAAATAAACAATTGCAATGACGAAAGTACCCTTCCTACTTTCACTCTCGTTGCAGAAAATTTGAAATGGAAGAAAGTTGAGTCATGAATCTCCATCATATATCTTATAGAAGAATGGAGAGTTAAATTTGAGATATAATTATCTCCCTTATATAGAAGCAGCAACCTCCAGAGTCCAGTGGCATTTGTTGTCAAAATACCTCCACAGTCCATAGGCATTTGTTGTAAAACAACGCCATTTACATTGATTATGGGCTTTAAGTTCCAACCCGTTTCTATTTATTATAGGTTTTACGGAAAGGTGATAAACAGGCTGATGGGCCCTGATCATTGGGCTGGAATTGACATCAAATAGTCGTGTATCCACATATTTTGGAGGCAGAAAATGGCGGGTTTTGCGGGTAAATTTTAGACTAAAATGCCCTTGGCGAAAATTAAGGGGGGAGCAGCAAAATTTGAATGCTAAAAATCTTATAGAACTTTACTATTATATATTGGTGGACTTGCACTGCAACACTTTTTAAAAGTGTTACATAAAATAAAAATATGCAACACTTTCGTCACGTGTTGCTTAATGTGTATCTTATACAACACAAAGTAGTCGTACTTAAATTTTTGTTGCATATGTCTAATAATATGCATCACTTGTGCAATAAAATAAAATATGTTGCCAATTCTTTACATTTTAAGCAACACTTAATTACAAAATTTTAAGAATTATACATTATTAACTGTACTTGTATACTATATGATTTAGCATTTGAATTTTAAACTAAATAGAGCTTCACTATGATTATAAAAAGAATAAAATTTCCAGTATGAATATTAAAATGAATTCGTATACCATTGGTTCCACCAAGCAACCTCATCATCGTCGAATCGATCTCTATTAAGGAAAATCACAATTATTTCTCTGACAATTCATATCGTAACTAATGTATTACGATACACATTTGTCGTGAATGTTGTATCGCGGGTGACAAAACCTCATAACAAAAACGTCTTTTTGTTACAAAGACATTGTAACTGGAGCATAACCTATGTGCCAGGAAAAGTTTGCAACCTATGTTGTCGACACTGCAACGATACATTTGTCACAAAATCTAATAGTGTGACACAATATCACAAAGTTATAGTTTGATTACTTAAGTGTTCCCCAATTAGATCTAACAATAGTTGGCTTTATTACTTAAGTGATTCTAACGTTTTTAGTGAATAAAATATTACGACTTAATAGTTTTTACACTATTATGCGTTGATAAAAGGTAAGTAAAACAAATGATGTTATTAGTTAAACAAATAGAAAAATGGTGTTAATTAGCTCAGCTATACACGGAAGTTATAATTGTAGAATATTAATAGTTATCTACAAAATAGTGAAAATTTTGAAATCATGTCAGCGGGAGGATTTTTGAACGATATATAAGTTATTCTTAGACTAATACTAGTGTAGAGCCCCGGCCCATTGGCCGGGTAGCGTTCCCATATCATTATGTCAATTGCTGGTAGTTGTCTCGTTAGCTAGAATTATTATAAAATAGAATTTAAATTTTGGAAATTTTGAGTGCTAGCATAGCAATAATAGATAAAAATTGCCGGTCATAGGGGAGATGGGGGTAAATCAGCTCGCTCCAATCCGATTAGAAACAGAATGTTTTTTTGGATGAAAAATACAGTATTAATAAAAGTATTCCAAAATACAACCCAACTACTACTTGCTAAAATTCAACCCTACTATTTGCTACCTGTTAAAATTCAAGTGAATACTATTTCGAGTCTCAACCATTAAAAAAAAGCAACAAAGGATAGGTACAATTCTCCAGTGAAGGAGTAACCAGGGTAGACTTATAGTTGATGGCCTCTGTTACTTTACTTGCTGCGAATCTGGAAGAAAGAAGGAGAAGTTTTGGTTAGGTTTCGTTTAGGACTTGATAATTAAAAGAAAAAAGATGTCTCAAAGAAAGCTTGATAAGAGATTTGCTTAATGGCGAGTGTTCATAGTAGCTATAAATGATATAGTGGTGGAGTTCTATAGCGGCAAACTCTGTTTCACTTTTGAAAAAGGAAATTCATGTCATAACTTATAAGTTGTGGGCAATGGGTATGATGATCTGCGACCTTTCCTTCCAAACCTACAACTCATGTAACACCTTATAGGTTTCAGATCCACCACTTTGCCTAAACATTGTACTATAAAACAAAGGCAATTCAAATCTGGATTTGTGTGGAATATATCTTTGATCAGCAAGTAGAAAATGGTATTGGAAATGACCTCATCTTGCTGGTATAAACTCAAGCCTTGAAGCTCAGTCATAGTAACTATGGGAATTTTAGCTAGTGTGTGCTTCTCCATCAAAATAGGTGGCTTACTTTCAGGATTCCTGAATTGGAAAAAAAAAATGAATGAACTTTAACAACTAAATTTCATTATTCAGCTTCTAGCATCCAAATAAAAGAGTGCAAGCATACCCGGTGATAAAGGCAATGACTTCCGAGATATCAATATTGGGAAACCATTCAGTTGATGATGAAGAGGAGAAACAATATTCTCCTGCAAACCAAGAAAACAAAAACACAACACTCAATATGCAGCATCTGTAAAGAAAAAGGTTAATATAGATGTCAGCAAACAACAAAGTGTACCCATCCATTCAATCGCTTGTATGGAGGTGATGACCAATATGAGAGAAGATGTTCCAGTAGCTTCTACAATGCTCCCCAATTGTAGTAAAAGTCTCCCCCACAGAACCATGTTGACCTCATCTCCTCTAAATACAGATAAAATTATCAGCAAGCAACAGATCTTATAGCAGAGAAAGCTTCCAGGAATATTATCAAACTACGTATTGTTGATAGAAATGCGAAACACTCAATCACTTTAATCTTGATGTACTTCGGAGTAGATTTTCGTCCAACGATGCGTGAAGTTTTACGATCTGATAATTGTAGGACCTGACAAACTACATATGAAAATCGAGTGTTCAAATTTTGAGTGCATACTTAGATGAAAAAGGCCAAAAACAACTCATAAAATCGAAGTGTTTGAAATATGAGTCATGGATACTATCCTAAGGGCTTCTAGAGTTCATATGCTTAGGTCATTCTATGTACTTGTGGTAGAAACTAATTTATATGAAGGAAGCAACAACACATACTAATGAAGTTGACGTTTATGGAATCAAAACAACCTACTTACAATATTGGTGCCTCGAATGAGTCCTCCTCCTGTAACAGAACCAGCTCCACCTCCACAAAATGAATCCTCAAACGGCTTGGATTCTACAATTGTTGTTGATGTTGCTGCCATAGCCTGATTCTGATTCGGATTCATTTTGGAGTCGATCACAAACCACATACAAACATAGTTGGAAGCAAATTGGAAGAGAACGAATTAACCCATTCCTATGACGCATTGATGCAAATGTAAAGCTTTTTTTCTTTCCGACTACAGATCTCTCCACTCCAATTCTTAAATTAGCCACCAAGCTGCAAACTCAGGGTTTATTTAGTTCGCTTACCTTCAAAGCTTTCGTTCAATGAATCGGCACCATGCTGTGAGTGAGCGCTGCTGGGATACTGAACGATTTCGGCGGTGAAGACAGAGGACGGAGAGAGGAGGAGGCTCGGATTGACACCGGCGGAGGACGGAGAGAGGGAGGCTCGGATTGACTGGGAGAAAAAATCAAATTTGTGGAGTTAAAAGAAGGAGGGGAAAAAAATCAAATCTTTCTTACAGTTCCAACTTCCAATTGAACGAAATCCAAAAGAGAAGGTGTTCCCTTTCGACTTTGTTTACACTTGCGAATCTGCCTACCAAAATACCCAAATCACGATCTCTCTACTCTATCAATTATCTTGGAAACTCCTACATCCACAAATGACAAATGGCCCAAAAGATTTACAAAATGAGCTCTCAAAAACCAAACGCCATTCAATCACCTCCGCCTCCTCCGATATGCGGCGTACTGCGACAGGGGAACGACCTCCGACTGCGGCATGGAGAGCGGGCTCGGGAGAGGGGAATTCCGGCAGACGGGGCAAGATCCGTTGAGCTTCAGCCAGGCGTCGATGCACCACAAGTGGAAGAAGTGGCGGCATTCGGGCATCATCCTCAGCATCTCCAAATCCTTGTACTCACAGAGGCAGATCGAGCAGGTGGCGTCGCCACCGTTATTCCCGCCAGCAGCCGCTTCCTCGGAGAACTGAAACTTAGGGTATGAGTTGATTACCGCCTGGTCTCAGCGGGGCCATTGGCGGTGAAGACGGAGGACGGAGAGAGGAGGAGGCTCGGATTGACACTAGCGGAAGAAGGAGAGAGGGAGGCTCGGATTGACTGGGAGAAAAAATCAGCAGGCCCGTTGGACGTCGCAATAGGAGCCGAGTCAATTTTTTCCGTTTCCGAAACTACTCCTCCGACAAACGCTTTGGAGGCTGGAATTTTGAAATGGGGCTCCTGTTTTCCCCTTCAGCGTTTTATAAGTTTTTATAAAATGGGGTGTATAGCTTATTGTTGTATAGTTTTTTTTGGAAAATTCGTGATAAAAATAGTGAATTTTAGCAGGAAAGAGACATGAATGATGCAATGAATCAAAAATCGGCCTTATGAACCAAAACCAAGTACATGTTACCTTGTGAAACAATATTGTTTCTGGTAATATGATGAGGTGGAGTAAGTTTTATAGAAACCGAATTCCAGAAAATCGAATAAAAAATCGCCTATCCCGTCAGTTTTCGGGAAATGAGCATCTCACAATCGTTGCTGCTAGCTTTTACTCGGCCTGTTGGTCGATTAATTTGTTTTATAAACCTTCCATCTTGTCGTCATTGTGCTTTCTGGTTTTTGTTAGGCCATGATAAAATCTAAGGAAATCAAGAACGAATAACACAATTTGGGATAGGAACCGCCGTTGTCGTATCCTAGAAAATGGTGGTAAACACAGACTCACCTGCCAAACTGGTTTGGATTGAGATTTTTATCGGGTATCAAGGAACCATGTGATTATAAATTAGACTTGATCAAAACGGGCCAAAACTTGAACTAATTGGGTTGGTCGAGGTTGAACCATTGAATAACATTAAAATACATTATATTTTAGCTACTAAGATATAAAATAATAGCATAATATATATTATGCCAGAGAAAATGGCTTGTTTTAGAATGACAAACCAATGATGTTCATTTGTTTTACTTGATGGCCAAATCCCGTGTAGGTCAGACCTATTCAACTCTTTTATTTTATGGTTAGCGGTTAGCCCATTAGATACCATGCATTAGTTTATTGTTAAATTTTTATTTTTACCAATAAAAATGAGTATTGTTTTTGTCTTTTCATATATATTTTATCACCAGGGAGAAATAAAAGGGCTTAAAGAAAAAAATTGACACTCCTGGACCCGTTTAAATCCGCATGTGTACGGTAAGTTGGCCCGTTCCACAGAGGAAAGAGAAAAAAATTGACACTCCCTATTCTACCCTTCCTACAAACGCTCCTGGAGCAGGAAATTTGAAATGGGGGAAGAGTTTTTTCCTCCCTGCTATTATATGTTTTTAATTTAAAAAAATACAACAAATGTACTTAGTGTGATTGGTTATGATCTTTGCTTTTCTTTAAAATGGTCATGGTTCGAATCCTAATACATGTCTTTTTACTGAATAAAAAAAAGTAATTGTGAAGACCAAAACGTCCTTCCTACTTTCACTCTCGTTGCAGGAAATTTGAAATGGGGCTCCCGTTTTTCACTTCGGTGTATTATATTATGTGTAGACTAGTCACGGGCCCGGCCAGTTGGCCAGAATCGATTGTTAATCACGTAAATAAAATAGCAATTTGTATTCGATATACACATTAGTATAAGAAAATCTAACTTCTTCAAAACTCTAAACATTCGAATTGATTGGAAGAATAAGATATCAAAATCTTTAAAATAGTTGAACAAATCAAAAGGACTATCATATTGTTTTCGGACATTTTAATGGCTAATCGACTAAAATCATTTTACAAAAATGAAAGAAAAACCCATGCAAGGGAACTGATTCCTAAAGACCAATTAAAATGACTCTTCTAATTACTCCTCATCCTAAGAGATTACTGAACATTTTCTTTTTGGCTTGTTTGCATTTGCTCCAGCATGAGCAATAGCCTCATCATGACCATTAAGATTGTCTTTATCTCCATTAGTGACACATTTATCTTTAATATCAATTGACTTTTCTTTCTTCACTTGCATTTCAGTTATCTCTTCCTTATTTCCTGCATTTCAGTGAGCACAAAAATTGATGGTAAATTATATATACAAATAGAAATAATCTTTTTCACTGGAATATAATTTACTTCGTTCAATTTACAAACAATATTTGGATTTTGTCATTTCTCCCCATCACCAGTCTTTATATCTTTATCATGAACAATGTATTTTTTCTTGCCAACATCATCATCTCTAGCACCGGATCCATTACCTCCACCGCTAGCAGTGTCATTCTTGTTCTCCTGTATCATCATTATGAATTTAGATCATTAACATTAAAAAGTACAACATATATGGTGAATTTATCAAAGCATAAGTGGTCAACATATGTTGTAGATAAATTTGTAATTGAGTATAATTAATTGCAAGTTAGTGTGAAAGGAAGCAAAGTTCCCCATGGAATACCAGTATTAGAAATAGTAAATCCACTATATTTTCATGCAGACCGTGAAAGAAATAAAAGATTGTTCTCCACTTTTAAGTGGAGTTTGATTTATTTGAATAAACTTCATCAAACCTAATTTTGTTAAGTAAAGCATCAACTCCCTTCAGCGCGCGTTGCAAGTTATCAATTAGATTAAATAATATAACTAAGTATTATGACCTGTGATGGTATAAAAATCCAAATCCAATTGAGAATAACAGAAATTTGTAATTAATATTGATCATCATTTTGATTTAAATAGAATTTATCTCGATCAAGTCAAAAAGATCGTCGGTGTTCTACTCTTCCTCATATTTCCTATCTTGATAATTGTGTCACTTAAGACCAAAAAGATCTTCCATTACTCTGTTATACTATACCTACATGAAAAAGTTTGCTATTAAATGTTAGAAAATTGTTTATTATTTTCATAAAAATGAAAATTGTTCAACACCCGACGTCCCTTCAAATGTACTGCCCATGCGTACCAAATAAACTAAGATATTTAATAGTGTTTGTGAATTATATATGATCCATAATTGAACCTCTTTGAACAATTCGAGTTATTGTGACTAACTGATTCTTAACATGGTTATAGAGTCTTCTGTAACCGAGAAGTCTTCTTTTGAATCTCGATGATCCTCATATGTTCTATTAAGCACGGTGTCTAGATCTATGCAAACATAAAGCCCTTTTGAGTTGGCTTTTGTCTAAGAGGGTGTGTTAGTAATTGATATATGTGATAGAAACCTGTATTTCGGGTTCTATCTAATAATGGGAAAAGGGTGGGAATTGGGGTGAAGAGCCTTGTTATGGCTCCTGTTGTGCGAGTATGGCAAAGGAAAAGAAGAGTGGAAGTGGAAAGGAGAGGGAAGAGGGCCGCGCATTAGCCTGTAGAGAGAGGGAAAGGGGTCGACCAAGAGTGAAGGGAGAGAGAGAAAGATCAGAAGATAATTAGGTTTAATCTTTGCTTGACCCTCATTCCTACGTAGCAAAATAGTTTAAATAATATTTCCTAAGTACCTATACCTACCCCAATTTATTAAATCCCCAAATGTCTCATAGACTCTTAAACAATCGTAAACTAACAAATAAGTTCAAATGCTAAAAAGAATAGAAACGCAGGTTTCTATCATCCCTGCCTCCTTCGAAACAACCTTGTCCCTAAGGATGTCAGTCCTCCGCCTGATCTTCGTTCCTGCCTTCCATCGCGTCGTCCTCGGCCTCATCCTCCCACCTCCCCACCAGCATCATCAAGTCCGGCTTCGCGCACTTGTGTCCAATGGTGAACCGTTAATCACAGTTGAAGCACTTGCCTTCCCTTCTCTTCTGCTCGATCTCTGTTGAGCTCAGCCTGACGAATCCCTTGGGTGGGGCCCTCGGCCCAGGACGTGTTGTCGTAACCGCTGCTCCCGGTACCGCACTAACCCCGCTGCTGCTCCGCCACTTCCGCTACTCCCTGCACCTGCGTGGCCTCCTCCTCCAGACTTGGGATAACACCCTATGACGTTCCTCCAGCTTGCCAACTCCTCCTCCTTAAGGAGCTCTGCCCGGTACTCAGTTACTGATCCGGTTTGTCTGAGCTTGGCCAGCTGCTCCAGAGCCCAGCCCTATGACTTGCCGAATTGGTAGCGAAGCTCCTCCTGGAATATCGGCCATGTGATCAGTGTCTGCGTTGCAGCATAGGATCTCTCTAACCACTCCCATCAGTGCAGGGCGTCACCCTCCAGATAGAAGGACGCCAGTGCGCCTTCCTTTCCTCACGGGTCGGGTGATTCTTGAACCACCTGTCAGCTGCATATAACCATAAACAGGTATCCTCTTGACCATTGAATTTAGGAAACTCAATGGTCGGGGGGCTTGGCTTGAAACACTAAGCCATACTCCTCATCATATCGATCATACCCACCATACCTGCCCACACTGGGGTATCCCCCGTGATATCTCAGTGGATCGCGTGCGTCGCCTCCTGGGCCCTAGCCATGCCCGTCGTCTCCCGAATAGTGTTCGTACCTTCCGGGTTGACCCCCGGGATCTCCTGCTGCTGCGAAAGAAGGACCGTGTGCACTAAAACACTCCAGCTAGGCTCGCCATCCTGCGGCTGATCTGCCATCCGGAGTCCACCCGAACTAGTTCGGTTCACTTACGGTTCGACCCACCACGGTTCGATCATTATCGGTCCACCCATCCCCGATTCGGCCACTGTTGGTCCACCCATCTCTGGTTTGACCTTCTTTGGTCCACCCCGCTCCGGTTCGACCTCCATCGGGAAATCCAGCTCCGGTTCGACCATCTTTGGCCCACCCTGCTCTGGTTCGTCTGCTTTTGGGCCACCCAGCTCCGGTTCGACCATTTCGGACTGGTCGGATCACCAAAGCCCAATCCGCCCCGCTGGTCCGTTCGAGCCCCTCCGTCCCGCAACCCCGCTCAGGCCCGCCCCCGACCCGCTGCACTTGGCGCATCTTGTCCTCTAGGGGGCTTGGGCCCAACTGTCTGAAACATGGATTCTAAGCCACGTTGTCGTAGCCCGGCATCTTCACCTTGCCACGTATGGCCGCGATCTCCTCT